AAATCGAGTTGAGCGGATACACGATCTTCATCATTGGTGCTTTCATTGAGAGTGATCGATCGTGTATCTTATTCATCTTTTTCTTCCCTTTTCAAATTTTTCTTCCTTTTGAATTTTTCCTTCTCGTGAGTTTATATTAAAAAAAAATAATATTTTCTTTGGTTCGTTTTGAAGAGTGCCGAGACCAAAAAAAAAAAACTTTTGTGTATTGGGAGAATCAGCCGTGAAAAAAAAATAAAAAAAAAAAGTTTTGTTCTTTAAATTTTTGTTAGGGTGCGTGAGTATCGCTAGTAAAAAAAAATAAAAAGAAAAAAAAATTGTTGTGTGTGTGCGTGAGTTAGAAATTAATGAAAAAGAAATGTTTTCTGAAGAGGAGGTCGAGGAAAGTTGGCGTTCATGGAAGAAAAGGGTACAATCAATATAGGAGAAACAAAGGCGATCGCAATGGGATCCGACGAAAATATTGAGGTCCGTGAAGGCTGAATTCGAAAATGTGAAGGTCACCTTGAACGATTACCACGAACGGGTAAAAACGTCGTTGCTCCAAATACGAACGGAGATCAGCGAGGCCAAAAAATTTTTTGATGAGGAGGATAAGATCGAGGTCCCGGTAATCAAAGAAGACGAGACGCACATGGAGGACTTTGAAGAGGTAGAGACGCCCCAAGTGATGGTCATTGGCGAGTCCGTGAGGACAAGGACTCATTCAAAGGGGGGAGGAATGATGCGGAAGTGGCTTTCGAGGCCCGAGCACGCCGAGAGCCAATGGTCGAGACGATCCAAGAAGGCCGAGAAAAGGGCCAAAAACACGCATGCATGGCCTAAAAGACGGGTACGAGCCCGTATGCGAGGTTCACAAGGAAGACGACGTGAGCCATGGATACACGCATGGCCTCGGGCTTATCACACGAGGTCAAGACGCGCATAGCCGAGACCTGGAAACCCTACAGGTCGACGACGAGGACTGGATGAGACCCGGTATGAGACACGTGCACGAGAAGGTTCGAGAAGCCTCGTGAGGCGAGGAATAGCGCACATACAAGCACGCAGGGGTGTACGTGGACGTGACGCATGAGCGCACGAGGCGAGTCGTGCGAGCCGATGCCGAAGATTCTAGAAGACATATTATTAGATTAATTATTTAATTAGTTAATCAATTGT